GAGATAGTGGGGGAATGCCCGCTGATTTTGGGGTGTGGTGGAGTGGGGTGATGCTTTGGTAAAGTCCTGTGGCTAATTAATTTTTTGTTAAATTCCTGTTGCTAATTTTCAAAAAGAGGGATATTTTTATGCATGTAGTTCTCCTGGTTGGTTTTCTTGCTTGTTAGTATGCATCCTGGATAGCCATGCTAGTGCTGTTCCCTTGTGCAATTTCTGCCAGACAAATCTCTCTCAAAACTTGTTTTAATGTTGCAAAAGAGGCTTCTGTTTTACTACTTTATTCTCAGGGCACTTTAATAACACTTTTCTTGTGGTGGGAGAAGAGGCAACTGGTGGAGCTGTTGGTGTTTTGTGAGACCTTTTTCCATTTTGTTTTTTCCAGAAACATCCTTGCTGCCCAGCCAACCCAACTGAAAAGGGCCTCTGAGAGTGAGCTCCCAACTGGAAACCTCTCTTATAATTTAATTTTAATTGTTTCATATGTTAAGAGTCTAGAAAAAGTGCAGAGAAGAGCAACAAAGATGATTAAGGGACTAAAGGCTAAAACGTATGAAGAACAGTTGCAGGAACTGGACACGGCTAGTCTAGTGAAGAGAAGGATCACGGGAGACAGGATAGCAGTCTTCCAATATTTCAGGAGAACTCAGCCTATTCTCCAAAGCACTGAAAGCAGGACAAGAAACGATGGAGGGAAATTAATCAAAGAGAGAAGCAACCTAGAACTAAGGATAAATTTCCTGACAGAACAATTAATCAGTGGAACAACTTGCCACCAGAAATTGTGGGTGCTCTAGTACTGGAGTTTTTTTTTTTTTTTTAAGAGACTGGACAACCATTAGCTGTTAGAAAGAGTTTCCTGTTTGAGCAGAAGGTTGGATTAGAAGACCTCCAAGGTCCCTTGTAACTTGGTTATTCTGTTAACTGAGAAGCGGGGGAGGCTGTCAGCTCAATGCTGAGATACTTGTCCAATGAGGAAAGCAGGATTTTGTACATCTTGCCCACTTCCTTGTAACAAAATCATAACGCCCCCACCCCCGTGAAAATTCTCCACTGAAGAAAATTGCAAATGCGAACTATGTCAGCAGACTGAGTGAGAAACTAAAGGAGGGGGGAACTCCTGTAGCTAAATTTTATTGCATGCTTCTGTGTTAAATAATCATTAACTAATGACTGACTCAATAGATAGGATCTATTTTGGTGAATCTTGGCACATCAGCCTTGGTTCTATTGGATGCAAAAAAAAAGTGGCCACAGGGGTCAAAACGGGTGCAAATTGGATATTATGCCTATGTACTTTCTCCTGCAGGACAAAAATAGCTTCTAGACTGAAGAAAGTTGCAAAACCTTAAGTTTCATATTGGTTTGACCCCCATGTCCAATTCTGGGGCACCACAAGACAGATTCAGAGGTAGAAGGTGCAGACAAGGGCAGTAAGGACGATCAGGGATGGGAAACTAAGCCTTACAAAAAGGAAGGGCATTGTTGGAAATTTAGCCTTGATAAGTGCTAATAATTAGCAGTTATTAAGGACTTGAGAATTCTTCCCTACTGATCCAATACGGAACCACAAAGGAAGGATTGAAATGACAGGAAGGCAGATCTTGTTTGAATATTAGAGAAAGCTGCTTAACAATAAGGCACAAGCAGTAGCTAAGAGAAGTGGTGAAGATTTAGCAAAGATTGGTCAACATTTGTCAAAATGCTACAATTCATGGATCTTATGGCAATAACTCCTGAGTCTGTTTACAGAATAACAAAACAACAGAGTTGGAAGGGACCTGGGTAGCCTTCTAGCCCAGGGGTCGCTAACCTTTTGGACCTCAGGGACCACCAAACTCATAATTTTAAATCCTGCGGACCACTAATATGAATTTTGACTGGCGGTGGCTTGCTGACGTTGGTGGGAAAGTCGGTCCCATATTCCAGAGCTGCAGTAGTCACAGGACTGGCCCTTTGGTCATCCCAGAGGAGCTGCTCCTCCACCCGGGTGCACCGGCCTGCCATGGACTGGAGGAGCTGCTCCGGGATGACCAAAGGGCTAGTCCTGTGACTACTGCGGCTCTGGAATATGGGACTGACTTTTCCACCAATGTCAGCAAGCCACCCCGGGGTGGATTTCCCACCCCTACCATTGGTCTTACCTTCCAGTTCCAGCTCGCGTGGCTCTACTCAAGGTAAGGTTTGCACTTGGCCGAAGGGTGGGGGCCAGTGGGTGGGCGGGCCATGCAGGCAGTGCAGCCTTGTGTTCCCGCACATCCTGGATTAATTGCTTTGGGGGTGTGTGCTTTGAGGGGGACAGTTCTCTGCGGACCAACAAAATTTTCTCGCAGACCACCAGTGGTCCCCAGTCCACTGGTTGGCAACCACTGTTCTAGTCCAACCCCCTGCTTAGACAGGAAATCCTATTCCACTTTAGAGAAATGGTTGTCCAATGTCTTCTTAAAAACTTCCAGTGTTGGAGCATTCACAACTTCTGGAGGCAACAAGTTCCACTGATGAATTGTTCTCACTGTCAGGAAATTTCTGCTTAATTTTAGATTGCTTCTCTCCTCGGTTGCTTTCCGCCCATTGCTTCTTGTCTTGCCTTCAGGACTTTTACAACCTCAACTTACAACAATTCATTTAGTGACTTTCTGAAGTTGGAATGCCCCTGAAAAAGTGATTTATGACCATTTTTCACACTTGACATTGCAGCATCTCCACGGTCATGTGATCAAAATTTGGATTCTTGGCAGCTGGCCTGTATTTATGATATTGCCGTGTCCCAGGGTCATGTGATCACCTTTTGTGACCTGCTGACAAGGAAACTCCATGGAGAGACCAGGTTCACTTAACAACCATGTTACTAACTTAACCACCTGGGTGATTCATTTAACAACTCTGGCAATGAAGTAAAATGGGGCAAAACTCACTTTACAACTGTCTTGCTTAACAACAAACAATTGTGGTCATAAGTCAAGGACTTTTATGTACATTGAGAGCATTTGCACCAAGGCAAATTCCTTGTGTGTCCAATCACACTTGGCCAATAAAAGAATTCTATCTATCTATCATCTATCTATCTATCTATCTCTATCTATCGATCTATCTATCTATCTATCTATCTATCTATCTATCATCTATCTAATTATCTATCTATCTACCTACCTATCTATCTAATTATATCTATCTATCTATCTATCTATCTATCTATCTATCTAATCTAATTATCTCTATCTATCTATCTTTTGATCTATTTATCTATCTAATTATATCTATCTATCTAATTATATCTATCTATCATCTATCTATCTATCTATCTATCTATCTATCTATCTATCTATTTAATCTAATTATATCTATCTATCTGTCTGTCTACCTACCTACCTACCTGCCTGCCTACCTGTAGGAACTTCATGGGTCCACCTGTTCCGTGAAAGGTTTTAATCCATTACTTTGTAAAGAGACTGCACATGCACAATTTTAACTGAGTGACGTCAGGATCAGGAAGCTATAAGTTCTTCCAAATACATGGTCATTTCAGGGAACCCGCATCCATTCAAGGATGAAGTTGGAGAGAGATTCTCCCTTGGAGCTTTTAAAAGAAGAGTCCTGTTGGCTTATAATGGCCGAAATAATGGCTCTGGCTAACCATTTTAATTAAACGGTTGGCACCATGGTGATGCAGTGGTTAGAATGCAGTATTGCAGGCTAATTCTGCCCACTGCCAGCAGTTCGATCCTGACCAGCTCAAAGTTGGCTCAGCCTTCCATCCTTCGGAAGTTGGTAAAATGAAGACCTAGATTGTTGGAGGCAATATGCTGATGTTGTAAACTGCTTCGAGAGGGCTGTAAAAGCACTATGACAGGGGTTCCCCCTGGGGGTGCGAGACGATATTTCAGGGGGTGCGAGAAAAGTCCAGGTAAATAATAGGATATTGGCTATATGTTGGCATTTTTATTCCAGGGGGTGCGAGGTTCGAGTGAAATTTCTTTAGGGGTGCGGGGCGAAAAAAAGGTTGGGAACCACTGCACTATGAATAGCAGTAGCAACAGCATATACTGCTTTACAGTGCTTTTACAGGCCTCTCTAAGCAGTTTACAGAGTCAGCCTCTTGCCCCCAACAATCTGGGTCCTCATTTTGCCCACCTCGGAAGGACAGAAGGCTGAGTCAACCTTGAGTTATTTCTGAATAAACAGGATCATGTCCTAATAGGCCCAGCCCAGTTTTAATGCAGTAGGACGAGTGGTGGGATTCAAATTTTTTTACTACTGGTTCTGTGGGCGTGGCTTAGTGGACGTGGTGTGGCTTGGTGGGCGTGGCAGGAGAAGGATACCACCCCACTAACCTGCTTTCCAGCTCCGTTCTCCTGTGCAGGGCAACCAAAAAAGACCCAGCCAATCAGCTGGGACTCAATGGGAGGCAGAGAAGAGATGGGGGCGGGGCCAGTCAGAGGTGGGATTTGCCGGTTCTCCGAACTACTCAAAATTTCCGCTACTGGTTCTCCAGATCCAGTCAGACCCTGCTGAATACCACCTCTGAATATGACCATTTTTTAATGGAAAAGATCTGGGTGGAAGCTCTTTGAGGCTGCTAGCTTGTACCATGATGGGCCACTCGTAAATAAAAAATTTGTCTCCTAGTTAACATTGATGTTTGTTGAGTTTGTTGTTTTTTTCAACATAGTTTGTTTAGTTCTCTCTCCAGCCTCTCTTCCAGAAATTCAAGGAAGTCATTCAGTCTCCAATTCTGTCTTTATAATGACAAGGTTGCGGAGGCTGTGGCAGAGAGACCAAAAAGGATCCATGGTTATCGATAAACGGATCCGGGGGTTTCTCTCGGCTTAATTCAGGATCCAGCAGTTAACTGATACACAAGACTGGCTCTTGCTCAGCAAAGGCAGTTTTAGGGAGCCGCTAATGAATCAAAGTCAGCCTTTCCAAGGCGCTAGTCCTCATGCAGCATTTTCTTTCTCTCTCTCCCCAGCGCTCAGCGAGGAACCCCCAAGGGGGCCACGACCATGGCCAGCAGTCCTTTGCCGGCCTCCACCGAACTGCTTCTGTCCGCCCCGTCCAACGCGTTCCCACCAGAACCGCTGACCCAGCCCCCTCCTGCCTCCCGCGGCGGCTCCTCCTCGGTGGTCCCCTCGGCGTCGGGCGCCATGAAGCCCAACCAGGTGGGCCAAGTGATCCTGTACGGCATCCCCATCGTCTCGCTGGTGATCGACGGGCAGGAGCGCCTGTGCCTGGCTCAGATCTCCAACACGCTGCTCAAGAACTTCAGCTACAACGAGATCCACAACCGTCGGGTGGCGCTGGGCATCACCTGCGTGCAGTGCACGCCCGTCCAGCTGGAGATCTTGCGCAGGGCCGGCGCCATGCCCATCTCCTCCCGCCGCTGCGGCATGATCACCAAGCGGGAGGCCGAGCGCCTCTGCAAGTCCTTCCTGGGCGAGAACCGGCCGCCCAAGCTGCCCGATAACTTCGCCTTCGACGTGTCGCACGAGTGCGCCTGGGGCTGCCGGGGCAGCTTCATCCCGGCGCGCTACAACAGCTCCCGGGCCAAGTGCATCAAGTGCAGCTACTGCAGCCTCTACTTCTCGCCCAACAAGTTCATCTTCCACTCGCACCGCACGCCCGACGCCAAGTACCTGCAGCCCGACGCCGCCAACTTCAACTCCTGGCGTCGCCACCTCAAGCTGACCGACAAAAGCCCGCAGGACGAGCTGGTCTTCGCCTGGGAGGACGTCAAAGCCATGTTCAACGGCGGCAGCCGCAAGCGGGCCTTGCCTTCCTCGGCCGGCCCGTCCAACCACCCGCACTCGCACCCGCCGCCGCCGCCGCCACCGCCGCCTTGCCATCCTCTGGCCTCGGTCAGGGCCGGCGGGGTGGGGCTGGCGGGCGGCGGAGGAAGCGGCGGAGGAGGCCTGTTGAGCCCGCACCTCCTCGCCGGGCCCCCGCCGCCTCCTCCTCCGCCTCCGCCGCCGGACCTGAGCCAGAAGCGGCCTCGCTTCGACGACGACAGCGAGCTCCAAGAAGCGGTGGCGGCGGCTGCGGCGGCTGCGGCGGCGGCTATGGCGCACGGCAAAGCCCCGCGGAACTATCCGGTCATCCCGGTGCCCAGCAAAGGATCCTCCTTCGGGGGCGTCCTGCAGAAATTTCCCGGCTGCGGCGGGCTCTTCCCGCACCCTTACGGCTTCCCGGCTGCCGCCGCCGCCGCCGCCGCCTTCAGCCTCTGCCACAAAAAGGAGGAGGGCGACGGGCTGGGCGGGGCGTCTCAAGGCGGATCGGGGGCTCCCAAAGCGGCGTCGGGAGCCCCGTCGGCCGGCGGAGCGGGTCTCTCCGGTCTCTTCTGGCCCGGGAGCCGCAAAGACTCGACGGCGGCGGCGGCGGCGGCGGCCGCTGCTTTCTACCCGCCTTTCTGTATGTTCTGGCCGCCCCGCGCACCGGGAGGCCTGCCCGGGCTGCCCACCTACCTGCAGCCCCCGCCGCCGCCTCCTCCTCCTCCGCAACCGCCGGCCTGCTCGGCCCTGGGCGGGGAGAGCTCCAGCCTGCTTCGCCAAGCCTTCCTGGACCTGGCCGTCGAGCCCAGCGGCGACGGGGCGGCCGCCGGGCTGGGGGCGCCTACCGCCGCCGCTGCCGCCGCCCCCCAAGCTAGCGGCACTGCGGGCGGGGGCAGCAGCCGGGAGCCCCGCGCTTTCGAGGGCGGCGGCGAGGGCGGCGGGTCCCCCCCCACCTCCGAGGGCCCGGTGCCCGCCGCTGCCCACCTGCTGGACGGCCAAGCGCGGCCCAAGGGGGGCTCTGCCTACCACCACTCCAGCGCCTTCCGCCCGGTGGGCGGCAAGGAGGACTCGGCGGAGAGCCTGGCCAAGCTCCATCAACACCATCAGCCGTCGGGCCGGCCTTCCTCGCCGCCACCGCCGCTCCTGCTCCTGCCGGGCGACCGCGAGCCTGTCCTCCAACCGGCCGGGCCCCGGCTTCCTTCCCCCGGCGGGACCAGTTGCAGCTTCCCCAGCGAGGACAGCAGCGAGGAGGAAGAAGAGGAAGAGGAGGAGGAAGAGGAGGAAGAGGCGGAGGTGGACGTGGAGAGCCACCGGCAGCCCGGCGAGGAAGAGGAGGAGGAGGAAGAGCGAAGGGAGGAGGAGGAAAGAGGAGGGGAGGCCGGCCACTTCCAGCAAGGCCGGGGACTGACGGACAAAGGGGGCTGCCGGGAAAGATCGAACTCTTCCAGCGCTGCCCCGTCGGGGTCTTTCGCTGGGCAGGAGAGCCCGGCTCACCCCGAGACCGAACAGCTGCCGCCACCGCCGCTGCCCCCGGCTGCGCCCCCCTGCCTCCCCAAAGGGCCCGGCAGCCCCGCCCTCCAGACAGCCCAGGAGATCCCAACGACGCCCTACAAAGATGTAAATAGTCCCCCTTCCCACCCTAGGAGAGGGTGGGGGGATGGGGTGGTGTGTGCTGGGATTTCCCCACTGAGTTGGGAGGGGGTGTTCAAATTTTTATTGCCTTTTCAAAATATAATATATGTGCAAAATACGGAAGAAAACAATAGGAGCATAAAGGAAGAGAAAAGTGTAGAGCGAGAGGGGAAAGGAAAGGAAAGGAAAGGAAAGGAAAGGAAAGGAAAGGAAAGGAAAGGAAAGGAAGGAAAGGAAAACGGTTGATTTCCAACTCTTTTTGGTGCAAAGGGATAATAGCATCAAACCTCAACTTTTTACTTTTATATAATAATATCAGCCAGCCATTTTCTATAACAACAAAACCTAACTAATCGGCAAGACCCCAAATCGAAGTTTCACATTTCCACCCAACCCCCTCAACCTCCAGCACAAAGTCCAGAAGTGGTTTCCAAGTAGAGGTAGTCCTCGGCTTCGGACCACAATTGAGGCCAAAATTTCGGTGGTTTAAATGAGGCATTTGTTCCGTGAGTTTTGCCCCATTTTACGACCTTTCTTGCCACCGTTGTTAAGTGATTCCCTGCAGTTGATAAGTTGATAAGTGAAGTGAATCTAGTTTCCCCACTGACTTTGCTTGTCAGAAGATTGCAAAAGGGGTCACATGACCTTGGGAAAACAGCAACAATCCTAAATATGAACCAGGTTGCCAATCATCTGAATTTTGATCATGTGAACCATGAGGATGCTGCAAAGGTCGTAACTGAAAAACGGCGATAAGTCACATTTTTTCAGTGCTGTTATAACTTTGAATGGCCACTAAACACACGGTTGTAAGTCGAGGACTATTGTGATGGCCCTGGATGTGGCACAAAGACAACAAAGTCACAAAAGTAGGTAAAGTCCCTTTAGTACCTCCAACTTGGCCCCCAATGTCCAGTTACCTTTGGCCGGAGAAAAAACTCCCAAGAACAGTTTTTAAAGGGAAGAAATTCAGTCCGAACCCAAAGTTAAATTATAAATAAAAACCAACACAAACCACAAAGCTGCAGCAATTAACAAGACAGGGCAGGATAAGGAATTGCAGACTTCAAAAGATAACGCAACACATACAGTTGAGAGGATGTCAGAACCCAGATAAGACTTGACAAACGAAGATAATGCATGCTTTGCTTCCAGCAAGGTGCTGTGCGCAAACACCCTCTTTATCCTGTTTTCCTAGCTGCAGCTAATGAAGGGAATCGGGGCCTTTTTCTCCCCCGTAACCCACATTGCTCCCTTCTCCATTCCTCCCTGCATGCCCTAGGATGAAGAGGAGTTGGGCCTGGGTCTTCCTCTGAATGCCCAGCTGGATTCTGCCCTTCCCCAGTTTCCTCCACAGACACCGGAGCCACACCCCCACTCCTTGTCAGTTGCTCCACCACTCCCTCAGAATCAGATTCCAACAGGGGCATGACAACTACCTGTAGAAACAAAAGTAAAAGCTCAGCTTTGATTGGCTACTCTCTTCTGCAAAATCTTCTTGTCGGGAAGGAACAACTGAGAGTGACTTTAGAAAATCCTCACATATACCCCCTCCCCAATCTGAGATGGAGCCACTGCTAACTTTGCTTCCAAACCCAGATGGATTTGCACAACCGGCTAAACTTAATCCCAGTGTGCTGGGAGTTGTGGAAGCCAATTGTGTAAACCACACCTTCAGGGGAAGCAGTCTAGTTTATTCCTTGGGGAGACACAGTTTAAGAAGCAAGAGTGTCGCTTAGTGTGGCATTCGCTTAATTTGTTGTGTGATATGAACCCAGCCAGGGAGATGCTTCTCATTTAAATGGAATAGAATAGGATACTTTATTGGCCAAGTGTGATTGGACACACAAGGAATTTGTCTTGGAATTTGTCTTGCAAATGCTCTCAGTGTACATAAAAGAAAAGATACATTTGTCAAGAGTCAAGAATCATCAGGTACAACACTTAATGATAGTCATAGGGTACAATAAGCAATCAAATCATACCAGGAAACAGTCATATAAATTGTAAGGATACAAGCGACAAAGTAACGGTCATACAGTCACAAGTGGGAGGGGATGGGTGATGAGGAGTGATGAGAAGATTAAAAGTAATAGTAATGCAGACCTAGTAAATAGTTGGACAGTGTAGAGGGAATTATTTGTTTAGCAGAGTGAAGGCGTTCGGGGGGGAAATTGTCCTTGTGTCTAGTTGTTCTGGTGTGCAGTGCTCCATAGTGTCGTTTTGAGGGTAGGAGTTGAAACAGTTTATGTCCAGGATGTGAGGGGCCTGTAGATATTTTCACAGGCTGGTGTTCTTAAATTATTTTCTCCTAATACAGGTTGTCCTACATTTGCAACCACTGTTGAGCCCCAAATTTCTGCTGCTAAGTGAAACAGTTGTTAAGTGAGTTTTGACCCATTTTAGGACCTTTCCGGCTGCAATTGTTAAGGGAATCACTGCAGTCGGTTAAATTCGTAACATGACGGTGAAATGAATCTGGCTTCCCCATTGACTTTGCTTGCCGGAAGATCACACACAGTGATCACAAAACCCTGGGGTGCTGCAACCATCATAAACACATGCCCAAATTTGATCACGTGACCACAGAGATGCTGCTCAAAAAACAGCCATAAGTTCCTTTTTCTCAGTTCCCCTTGTAACGTTGAGCAGTCACTAAAAAAAAGTGTTGCAAGTCGAGGACTACTTATTATCATTCCACTTCTGTTGCCTGCAAAATGCTGCCTTCCTTTCCAAATCGCATCTTTTTTCCTCCCCCAAAGTCACTGAAAAGCTGTTCTTCCCCCACCCCTGTCAAACCTCCGAGACTAAATTTGGGAGAAAAAATCCAAGCCAAGTGTTTCATCCGCAAAGCAACTTACACGGGTTACGAGTTGAAGGTTCTTGGTTTTAATTTCCCAGACCTTCAAAACGGATGGGACGAATAGCCATTTTAGCGTTAGCCCCCCAGTCCAGACTACATTTAAGTAGTAAAGCTGACTAGGAATGAAGCCCAACTCCTGGGGTCCCCACTGGGTCAATTGATGTTGGGTTTTTGGGAAGAAACATAGACAAGAATATTTATAACTCGGGGTTGAACTGTGGGGTTCCTGGTGCAGTGCTTGGTTATTTCTTGCAGTTGTTTCATTACTTGACAAGGTAACATGATCAGTGCTAGTGAGTGTGGGTTTGCTCTTTGTTTGTATGCAGGTAGCTTGTTCTTGCAGTACAAGGTAGTCCTCGACTTACGACCACAATCGAGGCCAATATTTATGTTGCTAAGTGAGAAATTTGTTCGGGGAGTTTTGCCTCATTTTACCATTTTTCTTGCCTCACTTGTGACAAGCATCACTGCCGTTGTTAAATTAGTCACGCCGCTGTTAAGTAAATCTAGCTTTGTTTGAAAAAAGAGGTTACCTTAAAAGGGATCAAAGATGACCCTGGGATACCGCAATAAATATGTATGCCTAAATATGAACCAGTTGTCAAGCATCTAAATGTAAATCACGTGACCATGGGGAAGCTGCAACAGTCATAAGTCTGAAAAATGTTCACAGGTCACTTGTTCCAGTGCCGTTGTAACTTTGAATGGTCACTAAATGAACTGTTGTAAGTTGAGGACTGTCTGTAGTTTGCTGTGCCAATGCTGAGCAAACCCCACACTCACCAACACTGATGATGTTATTTAGTTGGGTAATGAAATGTCTGCAAGAAAACAACCATGTCAGAGAGCACCAAAGACCCCATAAGCCAGGGGTCGCCAACCTTTTGGACCTCAGGAACCACCAGACTCATAATTTTAAATCCTGCGGGCCAGAGACCCTGGGAAAATCCCCCCAAAAGTCTGCAGGAAAATTCCCCACCCCGTTTTCCTACCGATCGATCGTTCTTTATTTGGGACTGCAGGATACCGTCTCCAGCTCTGTCTCAGGGGGAGAGAGAGAGAAAGAGAGAGAGAGAGACTTTTGGCTTCATGCAAGGAAAGCAGCAGATGCAGCAGAAGTCTTTCTTTCTCTCCCACAAACTTTGCCAGAAATGAGTCTTTGCCGGTGCAGCCTCTTGGAGCAGGATGCTTTGCAGGGTCCCAAAGACTCATCTCTGGCTGAGTTTGGGGGAGAGAAAGGAAGACTTTTGCTGCTTTCCTTGCGTACAGCCAAAAGCAGAAGAAGAAAGAAGTGGAAAGAAGCAGCCCGGTGGCCAGGCCAGGCGCGTGGGGCGAGTGGGGCAAGTTCCCCCCCTCCGCCCTTTGCCCCCTCCCCTCACTACCTCGTGTTGTTCACAATGCAAGCGACGCAAACCTTGTGTTCCCGTGCAGCCTGGATTAATTCCTTTGGAGGGTGCTTTAGGGGTGACATTTCTCTGTGGACCATCAAAATTTTCTCTCAGACCACCAGTGGTCCCCAGCCCACTGGATGGCAACCACTGCCATAAGCAACATAGAGGTAGTTTTACTATTGTGTTCTTTGGAATTTAACTGCCCAGGGATGTCTTGATAGTTTTCCATCCAATTCCTAATCAAGTTCAACCTTGCTTAGCTCTCCAAATAGAGGTAAAATCTGCAAAATTGTGCCCCCCCCTCCTGAAAGTGATCACAAGCCAAGTGTGGGTTTCCAGAGAATACGGTCAAAAGTTTCAAGTTGCTGGTAGCCACGCCCTGCAAATAAACATATTTAGAATTTGTGGAGTTTTCGTCTCCCCGGACTACTGTAGAAAGTCAGATAAACCCTGGAGGCAATAGAGAGAAATTAAAGTAGCTTTTTCTGCTGATATCCTAAAGTCAAGAAGTATGAATCCCCTTGCTGAAAAATTGCATCAAACCAGAACGATACTCTAAGCCAGCACAATCTAAAAATGAGCTTTATAGTTTTCCTGCAAATATATTCTTTTCTCTTTGGCTTAGTTGGCAATCATTCGCATTGATTTTAAGAGCTAGAGTGCACTGTTTCAGGCTTCCAGGGTTAATAATCATAAAGATTATAATTTCACAATATTTATTTATTTATTTT